GGGAATGACACTAGACAATTAAATATTAGCCATTTACCGAAAACTATCCTTTTCTAATCGCATTATAATTTGCACCGATATGGTGACTCCAGACACGGTGATGCCAGAGGTTCAGAGTGAAAATCAGAACAGCACCCACATGCAATGAATACGTAATTATGGCATACAATTGTAATGTTTGCTAAATATTAACTCAATATCATGTATATGCAAAATGAGAAACGGTCTGATCATCTACCCGGTGGCCGAGTGGGTAGTATGCTTGCATTCTACCAGTGAGGTCCCGGGTTCTATCCCCAGCTGGGTAGGTGGATTCGCGCACTGTGTTGATGAGACCCAACCAGGTCGAAACAGCTGTCCAGCTCAGGCCTCATTTACACGACCAATTCATCATTCAATATAAAAATAATTCAAACCCCTTTAGGGGTCGTGTTATTTAAAGTGAAATCCTCAAGCTATACCGAATGAGAACCGAATATCTTGTAACGTCCTGAACACCTCGATCTTGAATCGATCGCTCATTATTCACAAGTTTAGTGTCTCAATTCCAGAAATATATGATCTTGGAAACAATTAAATAAGTCAGAAATGGCAAACTGAATTCAAGTTTGTAACTTTTCACCGGGGAAGCGGCATGCATTGACTTACTTGTGATTGTATGCGATGATAAATGTTCCTGGAGTGCAAGAAGCTGAGAATCCATCCATTAGGATGTATAAAGCGATTTTTGACTTGACTTGACTTGACTAGATGACCGGGCAAGGAAAACGTGAATCTATTGTGAATATTGTGTGAATATTATTCACTGATTAAAACCCACACAAAACTAAGTATTAACACAGCCGAGAGCACAGCTCACAAGTCATACGAGGATCACTGTACTCGGACCGAAAGGATGAAACTCAGTCGATCTCACTGGAGGGCGATGATTTTCTACTGCTATACATACGGTTTAAAACAGCAGCAACAGAGTATTGATCCTTTACGAGCTACCTTTGATGATGATGAGAAGCACTGTGTTTTAGTGGCTTGCGGAATTCAAGCATGATAGGCTGTCCCTGGAGGATAATGAAACAAGGCATGGTCGACCTGTGGAGGTCACCGCAGCGGATAACGTTAAAAGCGATGGCGAAGGAAGATGAGCGAGTGACAGTAACACTTCTAACAAAAGCCATCGGGATCCTATCTAGATCAATCCGCACCATTCTACACGAGAAGCTCAGAAAGATTTGCGCACACTGGATATCCCCATCAACCCGGTGAGGAACAGAAAGCCGTTCGGGTGAATTGGTACCGCATCATGCTTGTTAGATTTGATTCTGAACCATCCAATACAGTTTAGGAGATCATCAATGGCGATGAGAGCTTGCTGTACAGTTTCGATCCACAGGCCAAGCAAAAATCGGCTCAGTGGACACCGGTTGATGGGGCACCGCCTCAGAAATTCCGACGCCTGTACAGCAAAGCACAGTAGCTGGAGTGTGATAAGCCATGCAATGTCTGGCAAAAGTGCTGAAAGCTGTTGCCAGGCGTTGTCCGAGGACTCGAGCACGAGGGAATTTGCTGCACCATGGCAAAGCACCTACACACAGATCGCAAGTGGTTTGGCCAGAGAATGCATCCAAGCTAA